TTTTTTTTTTTTTTTTTTTTTTCACTTTTTCCTGTCAGTGTCGGTATAGAGTTCCTGAAGCGTAATATAGTCCTAGGTTTACTCTAGTTTAATTAGGTAATTGTATTTCAATTTTGTTAAATCAAGTTACAGTACTTTAATTTGATTTCAATCAAATAATTGTCTAATTCTATCATACGAAAATCAATGACATAGCCTTCAATGCATTATGTAAAATTGTACTTATTTCATATTAGCATTTAACGGTACATGTGATAAGTGATAACCATGAGTTATTGATTGTCACGTAATTAATTATTATTGGTGAAATTGAACAAAGTTATTTTAATTGAAATCAAATTAAAGTGCAGTTACACAATTGGAATGAAATTAAAATGTAGCTACATTAAAATCAAATTAAGTATAATTACTCAATTGAAATCATATTAACGTGTAGCTACCCGATTAGATTCATGTGCAATGCACGTGTAAAAATAAATTTAAATATATAGCAAAGAGCAAGTATTGATAATCACTTCTTGATATTAAGCATGCAAAATATTTTTGGTTTTCCTAAGGTAGGTAGTAAAGTTTGAATGGACATAAAACTCGTTGATTCTGATAATATCCATCAGACAGTCAATAATTGCTGATTTGTAAGAACTCATACCAGCAATTGACAATGTTCATTGATGTAACCATAAAATTTAGAGAGTTAATCTCATTTATCAAATTACAATTGTGAAGTAAAATACAACCTTCAACAATCAAAGCAACACATAGCAAGTTCGAACGGGTTTATTTGGTATCAAAATACCTATCGGCAACATTATAATAATGACATGTTTGGTCAGAAGAATTAGACAGTACTAAATCATATTAAAAAAAAAAAAAACTAAAATATTATTCATTATACTCAACAATAATTGTAAACATTTATGATTGCCCTTTCCATGCTGTGCTACTTCTTCAATAGAGGCAGTGCTTGACCATTCTTTACAGCTGAAATTATGCAGGAAGTTCCCCTACCAACTACAAAAATTATTTTTTTGTCAACATTTCTTTCCTTCTCTCTCTTTTTTCAAGTCGTCATTACTTGCCAATTCATCTTTTTCAACAGCACTCGAAGAAGCAAAATTGTGATCCGATTTACTCATACCTGCCTCCTCGTCAAAGCACTTGCTTTGCTCGACCTCCTCATCTCCAACCTCAGCCGGGTTTTCCTCCATTTCGTCGCCCCTGCAATACATACATCTCATAGCTCTTATAATATATTCTCATTGATGGTTGATAGTGCTCTTAATGGGGTAGGTCTTAAACAAGCTAAGATTAAGGAATACCTTAACCGCATGTTTGATACGCAATATTAGACAATTCAACAGAATACAAAATTTAAACATCATCTTCTTTCACAATACTGTCAAGTACTATCTAGTCCTCCTTACCAGAACATGCTTGTACGTAATATTGGACAAGATCATACAACAGTCAAAATTTGACGTCTTTTTCCTCATTAGTGTGGTCCAATAGTATCGAGTTTACCTTACTAAACATGCAATAAGTAGGCTATGCCTGCTAACTAATGGGGTAGAGAAAGACAGGAAATAAACATGAGCAATGAAATATTACGTACACTGAATAAACAATAAGCCCGGCAGTAACGATAGCAAAGGCTACAAAATACATCCAATCAACCTGGAAAGTGTGGACTTCAGATTAGTTAATCCAATCACCGCAAAACAAAAACTTTTAACTTGAAATTTAGAAGTTAATGTAACCAAAGTTATCTTGAACTCTGGGCTCTTACGAACCTTTTCATGGTACGCAAAGATACGAATTAAAACAGCCCACATATCAGAGGTGAGCAAAGACAAATTAAGCATTGTAGACCCACTAATCTGCATTGGAAGGTTACAAAATGTATTCATCAAAAAAAAAAAAAAGCTGATACGAATTCTCAAGACAGAAAGAAAATTATCAAAATAAACAAGTAAAAACATGTACTAAAAATATACGTTAAAAACTACCTATCCTAAAACACTTATTCCAGCTAAATCTCTTATCATCATCCTCAAGCTAAATCAGCTTTATTTTCCACGGAAATTCTAGAATAAGTCCCTATATGTTGGTTCTATCTTCAAGTCTATTGTAGACTGCTAAAGTGGACGGTAGAGAAGTTTTAACGTCAACTGATATCCTTGCATAAGTTAAAAGGACAACAAAACGATAATCTACAATGCAAATTAAAATATGTGGAAAGAGACAGCTACAAAATATAGTGTACACAGAGGACTAGATAAATAAATCTTCCACATAGTTTAAACAATAATATCCTCCCTAGAACGGGGAAGCCGAAAATCACAGCTTCAATGGGATCAAGCTACCTCATTACGGGAATATACGTAATAGGGTTTCGGAACTTATGGCTAACCCTGTTGAGTTTGAAATTGCCCAAACCTACCAGTTAACCGAGCTCAATTACAATATTTACTGTTACTATTAATTTTATACATGCACTTGTATAAATAGTTTCTTCCTACTAAGATATATAAAAATATGAAAGAAAATTGTCTTAAACTCATTTCTATTTGATTTTCTATAGTTTACTTTCAAGTGTTTTATCTGTACGCGTACTATTGCAATTTTGACAAGGTTTCAAATAAATATTTAATGAATTGATTGCATTTCCACTTTCTTCTACATTCTGTCAAAGAATTTTTATGACATTTTATGCTGTCAGTAATAATTTTTTTTGTTAATAATATGTGGATGGCTCAGCTCTCCAAAAGGTTAATTTACGGGCTAAAATAAATGGCTAGCATTTGGAAATAAGATTAGGAGCATGTTTGACAAAGCTTAAAATCCAATTAAAATTGAAAATATAGCCGTTATTGGGTTTCACTCGTCTAATAAAAGTCAACAATAACAGCTAGTTTTTCAATTTTAATCTGATTTTAATCCCTACCGAACACGCCCTAGAACAATGTATGGAACCTTATTTGGCTGCAAAGTGGGGTTCAATTCGGGGAACAAATTGTCACTAACCCATTGCCAAACTAGTTGGGGTAAACGAACAAAGTCGTACCTTTAATAAGATTGGAACACCTGAGTAAAACAAAAACATGGCCATCGAAAATCCGACAAAAGGAAGCGCCTGAAACAAAAAACAAAAAATAATAATCAGCCTGGATATCATATTTTAATTTTCAGGTCTATTTTGGATAATGACATTTGAATATATGCACTCGAAAGCCGAAGTAAGTTATTTAAAATTCCATACAAAGTCAGTCAAACTCAATAAGATATTTCATTACTGTGTCTCCTCTTACTATAAGATATTGTTCAGCTGATTTGCAATTTTCTCACTCAAATATCAAGAAAAGACAAGGCAAAAGGAGGACAATTGTTTCAATAATTCATGCTTCAGCAGTTCTTTATGTAATTATCTTTCGCTATTAAAAAAATTCAACTTTATCCAACAGAATCAGAGAAGACAGACAGTGCTTAATATATAATACAAAGTCCTAAGCTTGTCTAGTCAAACCTATATCACAGCTCGAAATCAGAAAAGATTAAATAAGAATATGTCAAAAATCTTCGATTAGACCTAGCAATGAACTGAACTGTAGAGAAAATTTCATGTAATCGACCCCAAATTCACAATGAAATGAATAAAAGAAAAGGATTCATATAGCCGACCCCAAATTCATAGGGGAAAAAGCCTTAATTTTTTGTTGTAATTGTTGGTGCACGCGTATCATCCACGATAGTCATATCACTTCCCATTTAATAGGAAATTTGTACGCTAAAATGTACTTGTTAGGGTATGATACAAAATTTTGAGAAGTTAATCCAGTTAAATCTCGATCCGAGCACCAATTAGAAAGAGAATAAAGAAAGAGATCATGTACATAAATCATCCAGAAAACTAATTACACTCCACATTCATCAGGAAAATTGTATCACTGAAGGCTGAAGCTATTAGGGGAGGGGGAGAGAGCACAGATACTTACCGCCCCAGCTGACCAGTGAATACTTTTAAGTTCATTGCGTTCGAGTATGCTTCTACAGGCATGGTTAAAGAAGTCATTTGATCATAGAGACTTAATTACCAAGAAAAATTTAGCCCCTGTTTGATAGGGATTAAAATCATATTTTTAGTAAATTTTGATAAAAGTTGATGAAATATATGGTTGAAAAGTTGTGGATCCCATGAAATATGTGGTTAAAATTAATTTTTGATTTTAACTTGGATTAAAATCTTTTAATCCCACCAAAAAGAGACTTAATAAATCAATATCTCATCAAGAAATGTTAACCTATAAAGGCTATATAACAATAACAGAATATGCTTAAAATATAATGTGAATAAATTATAAAATAAAAGATTAGCATAGCAACCAAGGATACATTTGGATAGCGCTGACAATGGCACCAAAAATTCCCAAGAATGACATAAGTTCAACTCTATCAGCACTTTTAACAAAAAATTCCTGCATAGAACAAGAAAAACAAGGATTAACACTTCAATTGCAGAGGTGAAGGAAAAACCAAAAACTTCACTAAGGATGAACTTTAACATGATGGAAATATGCAAAAATAGTAAATGGAAATTTTTCTTAAAAACTAATAACTATTAAAAGAAAGTTTATCAAAATAAATTGGAATAAAAGAAAATAAATCAGAGTATCCTTTCTACTTTTACACCTGAGATAAAAGCGCATTTTTCACATACATTTGATGACATCTCCCTTAATAGGCCATGATGCTTAAAGGGGAGCATTAAAATACTTCAAGGAAAAAAGAGAGGGATGTGTGCAAGTCAATAAAAGGGGGGGAGATAAGGAAGAAAACATGCACACGGAATATATAAAAATGCATAAAGGTAAAATGGGGAGGAGAGTGTATATAAAACACAACTAAGGTGCAGTTATGCTTAAAAAGGACATGTATAGAACAAAAATGAAAAAGAAAAAGAAAAATAGAAAAGTCAATGGCTAGCAAAAGAAGAAAAGAAGGACAGAAAGAAAGAAACACAAGCATGCAGAATGATAAAAAAATGTACAAGACCGAGAATGAGAAGAGGCCCAATATCGTGTGTTTAAATATAAGGAAAGATGGATGGATAGAAACAACTATAACGTTATAGAAATAATACCTACAAGGGAATGCAGGGGAAAAAATTGAAGAAAAAGAAGGGGGATATAAGAAATGAAGGAAAGAAACATGCCTGTGAAAAACAACAAAAATGTACAAGAACCAGCAGAAGGAAGAGGGTGTGTGAGAGCATAGAGAGAGACAACAATATGAGGAGTGTACGGGAACAAAAATGAAAAACAAGCGAGAACATAGTGTCAATTACAAGGGAAACTATACATATGTATAAATCCCTTACCAATTGAAAAGAGAAAATAAACATTGTGTCAATTATAAATGGAAAATAACCATATCTATAAATGCATAGGTTTGAATTAACAACTCAGAAGTAACAATATTCAAAAGCCTACCTCAGCAACATTACTAACAGCATAAAGCGTGGCCCCAGCAATTATAAGTAAATCACCTTTAATGGGGTTACTACCGCCTATATCCACAACAATCATAACATCAGCAATTAAAAGGAGATTATGAAAGAAAAGAAGAAAGAAAGATAAGAGGCATAAGCATAATTCATACTACAGTAAGGCCTCCTCTCTACAGTGATATTCTATATTGGAATAACGACCATGTAGTCATAGAAAAAATTGGTCCCAAATTCAAGTTGGGCCAATTATAAGAAAGAATAAACTCCACATTGTATTATAGTTATAATTTTTCTAAGTCCCATCTTAAGGGGCTTGCCTCCACATGGTAAAAATTATCAATAAATAGCGAAAAATATATGATATGTTATATAAAAGGTTTAAGATGAAATAAAATATTTATAAAGTTGTTTGGGACAAAAAATATATGTTATGTTGCATTAAAGTTTGAGATGACTTTGAATATTTTCAATACTACATAGATACATGTATTAGTTTTCGAAACTATGTCTATCTCTTTTAACAATGTCTATACCTTGGATTTGACATACTCTTAATTAAATATTATAATTTTATCTCTATACCACTTGCACTAAGGATAACTAAGTCAAAACACTAAGTTTTTTAATTATGCCTCTACTAAGTTTTAACCTCTTTATAGTAATAAAATTAGTTTGGTCCCAACATTATGAGTATAGAGAGGTTTTCCTGTACAATGAAATCTTAAGAGGGGACAGATGTCATAGTAGTTATCTTTGCTTCTAGAGGCAAAGGAATCAAGGGAGGAAGAACGTATAATTCCTTTTTTAAGAAAGTAAGCTTGTTTCCACTCTACCTTACTTGGCAAAGACAGAAAATTGATTTATTTGGAATTTAATATTATACCCCTATAATCTTCATTTGTGCATTTTGATCGTGGATAGTGAATTCTTTTAATCCCCAACCTCTTTTAAACCCCAAGTAAACAAGGTTTTTTCTATCTATTTTACTTCTAATTAGCTTGTTCTTTTCATCCCAACCAAACATGGACAGGAAAACTAGGACTAGGATCAAATGCAGATAATGAAACATCACCTTTTTTACATGAATAATCTGATCAGATGCAAACATCATAACAGCAAAAGAAACTACAGTGGATATAAACCAACAACTAAATGACAGGTAAGGAAAATTCCTTCTTATCTTCTTCCAGTTGTTTCAGGGTAGGAGGTAGACAATTCTCCAACTGCAATTCTAGCATACTTGGATAAAGTCAAAGAAAATAATAAAACCATTTATATACAAATACTTACTTGCTCTATCTGCAGAATGTACATCTGAAAAGACAACAATCACAAGGCCAGCAATACAAATTACTACACCAACCAACTTCTTGAATCTGTACTTCGTCTTCAAAAAGAACCAGGTGAAAAATAGGACACATGGGATAGCCCAACAATCCAGTAGCATGACACTTGTAATGGACGTGTACTGGTATGCCTTGACCACTGTCAATTCAAAATATTAGATTATTCTCTCTCAAGAGTGGACATTTCCAAACAGTAAAAATAATTGTTTTTTTCCTTCAATTTATTTCGAGTTCTTCATCTTAATTGGTAATGAACCACTTTTTTCTTAGAAAAAACCATAGGATGCTGTTCTCAAACTAAAGTAAATGTTCAAAAATGTGTATTGAACAACTTACACTTATTTGAGAACATAATTTTCTTAAAATCACTCAAAAACTTCATAAAGTCTCTCTAAATAACTACAATTTTCACTACAAGTGAAGTTAAATAGGAAGAGGAAAATGAACAAGATGGAGGGTGTTGTAACTCAAGCTTACAATGGAAAAAAAAAAAAAGAAAGAAAAAAAGTATCTGTCAAACAGTCAACAAATACCAAGAGGTCCCTGTGGACAAAATAAGCAGATAAGATGTTTAGAACATAAAATTATAGTATCTAGATGCACTTTTGAAAAGAATATCAAATTCAGTCATTTTTTCCTATTATGGGGAAGAGGACAAAGAAAATTGTGAAAGAGATGTTCTGGCTTATAAAACATTTCACATACACAAGTTTCTTAAAATCCCTTGTCTGGAGAAATAATGAAAAGCAGTTAATTTTTTTTTTTCCAGTTCCTTTAGGTAGTAATGTGACACACCCTTCAGAACATTAGCTACACGGCATCCATGTCTCCTAACTTCTCAAGATCCACAAAATTACTTGGCTATCGATCAGGAAATAGTACTGAAACTGAAAAGGATGCATGAACAGATGCTTGAAAAATAAGGCACTTGTTGGTTTCTTTATATTATGTTCTGTTACAAAATTTGATAAGCTCAAAAAGGTCATAGTAACTTACCAAGAAAATTAGCTTCAACATCAACCAATCCAAGCAGGACATAGTAATACCATTTTGCCTGCTTATAGAAGAAAGAAACAAATGAGAAATTCATGCAATAACTAAGCAACTGAATATGTTGTGTCAATTCAAATAAAATTAAAGCACCATCACAGAGTACGAAAAAAAAGATTGATGATCTGCATTCACTTAACTTCCTCAAATGATGTAAGTCTTCATCACATCACATATTTTGTTACAAACTACCAAAAATACATAATCATGATGTACTCGTCATCATAACATCACACTATAGCAGTCAAAATTTGCAACATTCTTTTAATTTCTGAAGGTCCTCCCCTTTGTTGCTCAAGCCAGTTTAGCCATCCATTTATACAACTGTTAGAAACCAGCATACAACCCCGTTAACATCAATAGGACAGCAATGATAACATATACCCAGGAGATGATATAAAGTAACCATCGCGACCTGTCCCCTTAAAGCCCCATAAAATTCCTTTCAGCACTCTTATCTAGCATTATCATCTCATGCTTTCACCTCTCCGCTCGAGCAAAATAGGCCAACTACAGCCACTGACGTCAGTGAAGTATGTGCATCACCATTGACATATGACTGGAGAAAGAAACTGTTGTCTCTAGTTGTGCCAACAAGGAGAGTAAAATTCAACTATGCAAATAGTTATTTACCTATATCCTGTACGAGTTATTAAATGGCAAAGGCAATAAAAATTCGCAATTGGAAAGGTTGTTCCTAAAGGCCGCGGCTGATAGAACAAACATTTCTTAACATGTGTCTATTTCGCTTTACCTTCCTACAAAATGTTGTTGAACAAGTAAGCAGCGTTAATTTAAAAAGGTAGTCAGGTTATTTGTCCTAGAAGAAAATATAAGGAGACATTTGGTTGCTGTTTTCAGTTTTCAATCTTGTAAAACACCTAGAACTTGTTTAGTCACGCATTTTTTAAAATGCATTTTTGATAACAAGGTTAAACTTACAACATTAAACTCAAAACAATACTCAAAAACGGAAATAAACGTTTAACTCAAATGTTATTTAAATAAAATTTTAAAAAATTAAAAATTTCAAAAAAATTATTTAAATTAAAACACACAAAAATTATCACTCCAAATTCTTAATTTGCATTATCTTATTTCCTATGTATTGCCAACTCAATTTATTATTTGTTTGTATTTATATTTGTAGCGAGAAAAAATATTGCAAGAATTATCATGTTTAAAATTTATATTTTACTTGATAAGAGATTCGCATAAAATTGTTCTATTTTACTGAATAATCAAATTCATGGAATAAAATGTCATAAAATAATTTTTCAAAATTTGAAACCAGATGTGTTTCCATAATTTTTCAGAACGACAAATCAAACACATTTTCAAAAATCAAATACGGACCCTAAAAATAAAATCAAAACTTAAAACTTACCGAAAAGCAAATGGGCCTTAAATGTTTCCAATTGAACTTGAATCAAATGGAAAAAAAACTTAAATTCTATGCTTTGTGCTTTTCCATTTACAGAGAAATTGGACATTCATGTATGCCTTAATTATACACGTTCATTATGAACCCTCAAAAAATTAACTTGGTCTCAATTCTAGGAAACCCTACAACTTCTTGAATTCTATTATCCTGATATCAATACTATTGTGGAGCACTAGAACACGAAATGTTATCTATTGATTCATCAATAAGGAAAAGATAGTATCCAAAAGATAAACCATAAGCAAATAGAACAATGAGTGCCAAAAAGTGTAAAAGCTGATCAGCTAACCTTGAGAGCTTTCCTTCTATAGAGCATAATGCCTCCATACACCAGTGCCAATAATATATAATTCAAAAAAGACTGAGATGTTGGTGCATTGATTCCTATTATTGATAAATAAATGAGGAAATTAAGTTAGAAATACAATAAGCTTAAGAAAAAGCATTTTTTCTTCAAATTGCAGAAAATCCAATAGTTCATGAACTTTCTGACTATTCGAAACAAGCGATAACATACTAGAGAGGAAAAGTGCTAATGAAAACTATGTTAAATACATATAACAAGAGAGAAAATATACATTATAGCTAACAAAAAAAGAAAAACAACCAATGTAACCAAAATATACAAAAGATGCAAATTTAAGCACTTTAATTACAACTACAAATCGGCTTTCAGCCCAGGCACAAATGCAATTATCAGAGGAACGCTCCGCAACTGAGCTAATACCAAGTCGTGCTAGCCTAGCCTTACCACTATGCAAAAAAACTGAGAGCAACCCATCCATTAGAAAAACAAAATAATCAAAAGAAAACGGAATGATCATGGTAAAAAAATAAAAACAAGAACAAAGAACAAGAAAAAATATCATTATCAATATCAAAATTAAAAGGAAGAGAAAAAAAAAACCTTTTTTAGCAAGTTCAGAAGACAGGAATCCAGTTGAAGTGATGAGAAGAGATAGAAACTGTCCCAGCCCAAGACCCACCACTGTATTCTTTGTCAAAACCTCCTGGCAATTCACCATCTTCTTCCAATGTATATATGAATATCTATGCACTTCAGCGGACAATAATTTTCAGAAAATGGCTAAAACCACAGAATTAAAAACAAGCCAATAGCTGAAAAGGCTACCAAAAAGGACAAGCAGCAAAGTTTCAAAGCGTTGAAAAAACACACTCTTTCGTAAAAATACCCCCCACCCACCAATATTTATTAGTATAAAGTACAAAAACACACATCCATGATCTACATATAGAGAATAATTGCAGGTAGAATGGTGATGAAATTTGCCTGCTGAGTGGAAGAAACCAACGGCTGTGAATGACTTTCCCAGATGCCTGTTGACTCGTGAGAAGTTGAGAATTACACGGAATTTTTCTTGTGATGAAATGTAATTTAGTAATTAGCGTTAATAACAACGTCGATTTCATACGGAAGAAGTAATTGTTGAGAAATAGAAGTCTAAACTTATTGATTTTATCAAAATTGTTTGTACATAGAATTGTTCACGAATATTTAATTGTTAAAATATTAAAAGGTCAAACTTTATAGGATTCTTATTGGAGTTGATAAATAAAATTGAGGTCCTACATGTTCATCTTTAATTAGAGAAAATCACACTATTGTATTGGTTCTTAGTCGAATTTTCGAAATTAAAGTTAGGGTTCGTTTGATTGTAAAAGTGGAATTTGAGTGAAAAGAAAATGAATTCTAAAGAATTGAATTGCCTACAAATATTTTTCTGAAAATTATCAATTAATTGTGTTTGATTAGTATAATTTTTCACTTGAAAAATATTGAATTTTTGGATCTTTTGGTGTTCGTTTGGCTTTGTTTTACATAAAAATTGTTCATTGAAGGGATAAAATTTATTACAAATGATAGAATTTGTTTCCATTGCTTAAAAAAGGTGGAATCCCAGCAAAGTGGTGGGAAAATCAATTCAATAAAAATCAAGAAAATGGAGTCACGTGGGGGGTTTGGGGGAAGAACACTACTAATGTAAGTGCGTTGTAAATATTGTCAACCATTAATCATTGTACAAATAAATTTTTTGTTGGGGGAAAACTATTTTCCAAGAAAATTTTGCCCATCAAACAAGCAAAAAGTTGGAATTTGAAAAATATATTCCAAGTTCCATGGAAAATAATGAATAGCAAACAAGGTCTTAGTCTTTAACCTTTCATTACAATCGTATATTCCATTTATTATTTTAGATGTTATATATTAGTCGAGGCAAATAAAATTTTGTAGCTCCTTCTCTGATAACGTAACTATAATTGTTCAAATATTCGTTAAGTCTTCACGTGATATTTTTCTATCATGGAGCCAAATTTTAATTTTAACTTGATTTAGTGCTCAAAATTTTTAATTGATGCAAATTTCGTGGAATTTAGGGGTGTATCGTGTATGGTCTTTTGAAAAAGGGAATAGGTTATTAGGATTAGGGTTTAAGAATGTAACGAGGATTTCAGGTGTTTTATTCGAAGCTCAAAATTAATTCAATAGAATTAGAATTTAAAAAAGAACGGAAAAAGTTGGGGTATGTAACCAGATTAATTCTATTAACCAGAATCCCTAAATTCTCTGGGTTTTTTTTGGTTTTGAAAACACTATTTTTTACGCATTGAGGACTACCTTGCTGTCTAGACAACAGATGGAGACCAATACTGCAATTTGTTCATAGAGAGAGAGAGAGATGACCTAATGAGCACTGGTGCTCTCAAGCACCTTTGACATGTTATATTAATTCAATAACTAATAATAAGAACTTATTTTATTCTCATTATTTTTAAAATATATTTTTTCCTCTTTTATTTTCAATCACACATTTTTCAATAAAATAATATTACAATTTTTTTTTATTTTTTAACCACACATTCTCCGTCATATCACTATTCCAAAATGCAATTTTTGTTAAAAAAATAAAAAGTAGTGTTCAAACATGCTCTAAATTTAATTCAAATATTGAGGTCCACCCAATCTGTATCCACCAATGAATTAATATGATATGTCATCGGTGAAATTTTTAAAATACATTTTTTCTTTCTTATTTGTACATTTTTTGTGTAATGCATTTTGTAATAGTAGATTGATGGAAAATGTGTGGTTAAAAAATAGAAAAAAATTTAGGTTTACGTGTAATATTATTTTATTGAAAAATGTGTGATTGAAAAGAAGTGAGAGAAAAATGTATTTTGAAAAAAATGATGATCAAACAAGGGCTTATTTTCAACTACATTCTTCAATAAAATAATATTACTCGCAAACTCGAAACTTTTTCTGATTTTTTAACCACGCATTCTCCATCAAAATATTATTTCAAAATGCACTTTTTGTAATTAAAAAAAAAGGCTCAAATAGGCTGATAGTTTATTTGATAAGATAGAATAGATAATACTAAGTGGGTGTTTAGTGGAGATTAAAATTAGATTTTTAGTAGATTGTGATAGAAGTTTTTGAAATGTGTTGTTGAAAAATTGTAGGACACGTGAAAGATATGGTTAATATTGATTGTTTAATTTTGATTTAGATTAAAATCAAGATATGATTAATATTGATTGTTTAACTTTGATTTAGATTAAAATCTGATTTTAATCAGAAACAAACGGGGCCTAAATATTAAAACATAGTGAAAATTTTGTTTATCGTATTATCAAATAAGATAAATTCTTTCAATATGTACATATTGTGTATACCGAATAATATTGTAAATAGTAAGCCAAAAAAGGGATAAAAATTCGTACATTATGCAATTGTAAATTATATATTTTTCTTTAAACAATTGTAAATTATATTATACGTAAGAATCATATGTTTAGAATAATAATAGAGTTGGTTTTGAAAGTGACTGATGAAGACTAATTGATTAGAAGCGAATCAAACGTAACACGAAAAGTATCTTTTATGGTTTTGAGAGTGACAGATGAACACTAATTTTTTAGAAGCAAATCGAGCAATGTGAACAAAATTTTTAGTAAGAGTAATATTATTAGTAATCGGTGATTACTCATCACCTCTTTATGAGGCAATAAGGTAACAATTATATTCTCCTATAAATTTGATATGAATTTTAATTCACTAACCACTACCATATGAATTGTTCCTGGAGCGCATTATTTGCTCCAAGAATACATTTTTTTGGTTGACGTGATAGGGAATGTGTGGTTGAAAATAAAGAAAAAGTTATTGATGTGATAAAAAATATTATTTTATTGAATAATGTGTGTTGAAAATGAGTAAAAAAATAAGAATGAAAAAAATAATACAACTCTGGGCAGTATTATCCTTTTAGGAAATGAAGACAAAAGTCGCTTTTTTGGTTGGAAGGAATATGAAAGCAAGTGTTGGAAAAGACATTAAGATGCTTGTTCTATTGGAATGACGCAAAGTCGCTTTTATTATTGATTTTTTTTTGGAGTTCATGAAAAGTCATTTGAGTCACTTGTGTAGTAAGTTTTACTAATTAAAATAAAATGAGTCGTTTTATTTTGTTAAAAAATAGTTGTCAATCGTTTAAATTAAGCCCGTTTGACAAACATAAAAAACAATTTTTTTTTTTTTTTGAGAAAAATGAATTTTAGAATAGTGATTTAAAATTTTTTTTTTTTAAGAATATAAGGTTAAAAAGTATGAAAAAGTTTGTGATTGAAAATGAGTTTGAGAAAAAAAAAATTTGAGAAAATGAAAAATAAATAGGGGCTAAATCACGATGTCTAACAACTTCCTGTATAGTTCAAAATAAATTATCTAGTTATCTCAATTTTTTTATTTAAAAGTTAATCCGTAAATTTATATCATTAATATTGATTATAATCTATTTAATAAGAACCACTAGAAAAGTCTCACTTTTATGTATGACTATTTTGTCGTGTAAAATCATTTTGGGACGGTAGAAGGTCGTCGAGAAAACAAAGCAAAAGGTTTCATTGTTTGAAAGTAAATTTTGTGTAGATTGGATAATGCTATGCATTATTCATGTCATTGTCACCTAAACTATTGCTAAGCATCCATGACGATATACATTACATTACTCGTATCTTCCTTATGCATATTGGCGAATATTTCTAGCTGAATGGCACGTCTTCTAAAATAATATGTTGCTAAATCAAGTTTCTAATGCACGTTTAATTTAGACTGTCAGAATCTATCCAGAAAATGAATCTTCTGTCTCCAATGTTGCCTTAAGCGCTCCAACATCTCTAACTACTAACAGATAATTTACAATTTCTTAACAACTACAAGACAAATGAAACTCCATATAGTACTACTATATCCCGTCAAGTGTAGCATGTCGAGCATACGAACACTTGTATGTGATAAAGGGGTAACCACTCCCTCATCCCATAAGTTCTCAATGTTCAAGAGTCCACCAACCACCAAAATTTAGAGCCAACAGGTTAAAGCCCTAGATATCGAGATATATGGAGGAGAAATAAAAAAATCGTAGCAACTCTTTAATGCCCCTCCGCTAAGAGATGCATCATCTTGTATACGAGGCACGTTTACGATGTGTATTTACTATACCGACTACAATTGACAAATATGATAAGATGAGGGGTTCTCTTAAGAACGAGTCTCAACAAATATGATAAAGAGAGTGGTTCTTTTAAAAATAAGTGCTATAGGCTATAGCTCCTTCTTTACTTGTATTCCCTCTTCCTTTAAATATTCCAACTTCCTCTTTTAGTCAATAATTGAGTTTAATATTCAAATAAATATCTCTATTTGGGACCATCATTAACACTTCAAGCGGCCGCATAAAGATAAAGTAGACAACTATCCTTATATTTCTTTTGGACAACTTCAGGCGTCCGGCTACCACACAATTGCTGGCAATCAACTTTATCCTTATATTCCATTTGACTTGCCTAGTCAAAAAGCGAACAAGTAAAATTGTTTCACAGACCATTTTGGCTATAAAATAAGTAATTTTTAACTTTTTGTAAAAATAAGGAAGATGATGCTTTTAAAATAACAAATATTTTACTAAAGAAAAAAAAAAGAAACTTTTAGAAAAAGCCA